AGCACCCGCTATATACCAGGGCACGCAGCACCCGCTATATACCAGGACACGCAGCACCCGCTATATACCAGGGAACGCAGCACCCGCTATATACCAGGACACGCAGCACCCGCTATATACCAGGGAACGCAGCACCTGCTATATATCAGGGCCGCTTATTTACAGCTTTTAATTTTTTTTTTGTGGTTTGATTTATTTCTGTCCTTACCTCTTCCATTCTGGCTTTGCTTGGTTTCTAGTGCTATTGAAAATAATTCACATGGCCGTGTGTGGACACCACAGTGAACAGGGACACATATAAATCATTAAACCTCTATATTTCACCTCAGAAAAGTAATTAACAAATCAAAACAGGTTAACTGCTACTGACAGATGGTGGAGACCCACAGCCACCCAGCAACGGCCTCGCTTTCACCCAGTGATGTTACTGGTGCCTCTGGACGTGTGATTGTAATTAGGAATTACTGCAAATGTTTATTAATCACACCACTTTGCAACACCTTTTACTGTTTATGTTGACTTGCTGCCAGAATCTTTTAATCTCCATGGAGCTGGAAGTGTGAGATGTCAGCGCAATGGACAATGCATTACATTACAGTAGTAATTAATATGCAGTGATGTATACAGTGCACTATAGCTATATAAATATTTGTCATTGTACAGAGTACAATGAAAGTTTTGCTACCGTCGAAACGGTCCACTCACACACAACATAGTAATTAAACTGAGGTATAACTGGAGTACATTGTAGAAGAAAAATTGACATATGAACAGTTTTGTACATAAGACACAGGACATAGCATAGCAGCATGAACCCTGTATGGACATGACAGACCATAAATAGATGAGCTATTGCACTGAGGATGCTACCTGATATTGATGTTGCCCAAACACTGTGCTATCGTATCACGTACAAGGTGTTGTAAATGCAGTCACCAGTGCAGTGGCATGTTAACACTTGCAGTGTTTTTTTAATGTGACTAGTGCCCCAAATTGACAAATGAATACTATTGGATGTGACACAAGATATAATGACAATAAACCACGTATTAGATAGATAGATATATGGATGAAAAACTTTGGTGTAGAAGGTCCTAATGAAACTGCACTCTTCGTATCCCTCCACGATAAGCGATTGCTCGCCTGCTCTGAGATACACAGCACAAGAGCACATTCCTTCGGCCACTTTTCTCGACCATGCTTCACGTCGCACTGAAATCATCTTTTTTTAACTGGTCTCAGAGGTGTATGGCAACAGTGCCAACCAGTGCACCAACATGGCGCCCTATAAAACGACATGCATGATGGGAGACTAATGACACTAATTAGATGGATGACTGGGCTGCAGCCTGCTGTAACTGGATCAGCCCCCCCCTCCCGATACCAGAGGAGTCCACAGCACAAGTCTCAAGGCAGGATGGCAGGAATTAACTCTGATCTTTCTGGTAGGGGGGCATTTGAATTTAATTTTATATATATGTCATTACTTTTTGGTGAAAATTAAATTCATGTGGAGTAGTTAGGTCAATAATTTTTTTTTTAATTATTAAATTTCACTTTTAGTTGTAGAGCGATATGTAAAACCCTTATATTCTTTACAAGGTAACACTTTACTTCAGGGGACACTAATAATATAGTATTATGCTATTACTTATGTATTAACCACAAATTAAGTCTTAGTTACACACTGAATCCTGATGCATCTTGTATCTCAAGTAATTATTATATTTGCTATATCTGTTAATTCTGTAAACCTTTAAATGAAGGAACTACTGAAGGAGCAAATCATGAATAACACACTGAATAAAATACTGATCTCATGTTTGTTAATCATTAATGAACCATGATACATCTTAAGATTGTTACTACTAAGTAACAACTATATTTGTTCACCATTTGTACTTGAGTTTTTACTAAGTATTTGTACCTCCTCAAGTGTTACCTTTCTTTAATAGCAATCTCTGAAATCAGATCACTATTAAGCACAGCTGTGTGTCCTCTTTTTAATAGAAGCGTAAAATCAGCAGACATAACAAAAGTGTTCCCTATAAACCTTAAAACACTTCCTCCTTTTTAGGTGTCATCTTGAATCCGTCATCAGATGTTTATTAGGAGAAGTGGTCTCCTGGCCAGAAAGCGTTTCGGTTCCGTAATCGCTTTGTGTGATCATTGTCTCTGCTGGTGACATGAGGAAGTTGGCGACAGGTAAAGGAATCACAGTATAGTGACAGATGGCGAAGGGGGCGGCTGTAAAAACGGTAGACAGGGCCAGCCTCATGCGTCCAGCCGAAGCCGCGTAGATTAGGCCGGTTATTGTCGCGTGTTCCCACGTGTCCGACTGCAAGGTGGGTTTCCCGTCTAAATACCATTGAGTTAAGCGAGTGCTTTGCCCCTGTTTGTGCATCTCCTCCTTCTGATTGGTTGTTTCCTTCTTTCCCTTTATAAATAGGGCAGCTCTTGAAGAAACATATTCCAAGTCTGTGAGTAAGATGGCCAAGATGGCGAGCAATGGAAGCCCTCTAGGGTAAGGAGGAGACATTTGTGTCACCGTCATCGATCTCCTGTGTCCCGCAGGCAGTCAGTGTGCATCTTTCTCACGTTGGCTCAGCAGGAAATAGAGTGGGAGGTGAAATCAGCCTTTTGGGGGTGGGGACACCTAAATTTGTCCCTAACTAATGAAATTTACTGTGCATCCAGTAAGCAGACATGGGCTCCTGGTTTATATCCGTCCATCAGTCTGTTTTGTACCAGCAATTCCTGTCAGGCTGTTTGGATGTCACACGTTGGGGGGGCGCTGCTTAAATATGGCACACTTGCTTTTTTTTTAAATAGTATATATCTAAACTTGGCTGCTGAATATTTAATCCTGCTTCCCCCAGGACTTTTGCCCCAATGTGGGACCTCTTCCGCATCTCCTCAGACAAACTGGCACTGTGCCACCTGGAGCTGATGAAGAAGATGAACGATCTCCTTCGAGACATCAACAAGTATGGCGAGGAACAGGTCAAAGTTCACCGTAAGGTCAGCCTGGGCCGTCAGTCCAGATGTGTGCGCCATTAGTCCGGCGTTCGGTCCCCTTCCTCATCCCTCTCTTCTGTCTTCCCGTTTTCTGGCCCGCAGGATTTGCTCATTTGTTCCGCCTCAGTTCATGAACCCACGTAACAACTGAAGAGCAAATTTCCGTGCACGGGACACGTTTCCCAGAAAATTACCGTGGACTCGGTGATTTTTGGAAATGTGACAAAAGTTCTTTGTTGGATCACATGAGGACTGAGTGGGTTTTGGTTCCCGATACTGTAACATAAGGAAGCCTGACATTACTGCCGGTGTCATCTCAAACGGCAGAAAGACGAGTGACATTTGGAAATTTGCTCCTCAGTTTCGGGTCTGTTATGTATGTAAGCTTAGGACACTTGTTAATAGTGGCAGCAGATGAAAGACGCACAACAAGGTCGTCTTGGTATTTTTGTAGCTGTTCTTTTTTTTTAATTTTATCTTCCTATTGGCTATTTCCAGAACACACTGTCAGTGTTATGTCCACCTAGTGGCTGAAGCAGTAACTGCACAGTAGTGTGTGGATGTGTAGCTCCATGCATTAGCACTGCGGAGGCTGGGAGCGAAGGCCCTTGTGGCGTGTGGCCCTTGTGGCATGTGGCCCTTGTGGCGTGTGGCCCCTCTCAGGTGAGCCTGTCGCCCGCACAGATGAAAGAGACCGCGGTGGGAACGCTGGAGTCCGTCCAGGCCCTGCAGACGCACAGCAGCCAGCTGCACAAGGCCCGAGACGGCCACCTCTGCAGGCGCGCGGAGGTGGAGCGCCTACACCGCGAGGGCGCCCCCCAGAGGGACTTGGAGAAGGTGCGCCCCTGAGCGTCTAAAGAGAACAGAAGGATAACATTGGCATGAACTAAAGACGTATAGACAGTTTTGCTGATAAGAATTGATTTATGAAGGAAAGGTAAAATAACAGCACCAGTGAAGTCTTTAAATTAAAAATTTTTAACTACATAAGGCATGGACGTATACAGGGGCGGGGCCAGAGGGTCAGTGGCCCAATCTGAAATCTGATTGGACCCTAGAATACCCCAGCCTCTGTGACTCACTGATTCCAAACATATCATTGGCTAATTATAAAGTTGGCCACTCTGTAAGAATTATGGCCCCTGTTATGCCGCAATCTTAAAAAAAATCCTGAAAGAAGGCCTTTATTGTAAATGACGCCCCATTTTGTTATATTCTTACTCTGTCATCATACCACCACTCCCCCTCCCCAGGCAGAGCTGAAGTCTAAGAAGGCAGCTGCATCCTTTTCCTCTTGCGTGGAGAATTACAAGCATGTGGGCAGTGACTTCGAGCTGAAGATGAGTGAATCTGCGCAGGTTAGTCTGGCGGCTCGCTGGGGTTTAACAGCCACACGCCTGCCGTTGCTGCCAGGAAGCACACGGTCACTCTGGCGTGGCTCTCGCTGGCCTCGGCTCTCCTGGAGTAGCCCCTGCGTCGGGTAGACGCCTCTTTTCATTTTTAATCCCAGTGGGATTCTCAGAGGTGCCCAGACTGATATCCAGAGTCACTGATCCTCGCTGGGGAAGGAGTCTAAGCTTCCTTTCGGCGCTGCACAGCTGCTTTATCCCTTCAGTGGTCTGATAAATCTTGTAGGCTCATGCAGACCAGAGACAGATGGCTTTCCTGAGGTATGATGTCCTTCTGATATCACATTTCAACCTTGAGAAAACTTTGAGAAGCTGCCATTGTTTTTTTTTCCTCCTTATTTGACTTCAGGCTTTTTAAAAACCCAGCATTTGCATTTGGTTGCCTTGTTCACGCTTTAACCTGCTTTTTAAAACCCATTTTTTAAAAAATCCAAGTTTTAACCCATTTATTCAGCTGTCCCTGCTCTACCAGCCTGTTCTATCACGGTCCACTCTGCTGCCACCTGCTGGTGTGGATGTCCTTTTTGATGAAGTGTATGGTATGATGTGCTCAGAAACAGAATTCACATTACTGGCCAGGTACACCAGCATGTACTGGGAATTTGTCTTGGTGGTATTGGTGTGTACGTTCACAGACAACATAGGACATAAATTAAGAAAATAATAAATAGTATGAATAACCATGCAAATCAGTACAGATTAGTCGGTAAAACGGTATTTACAAAATGTTCAGTGAGTACAAGTCTGACTAGATGTGCAACTAAATGTGATGTGTATGTTTCTCTTGAAGGCCTCATGTTTACAGGAAAGAAAGGGTCTTATGAAATAATACAACCAGTGTACTAATATATGAAGTCACAGTCACACAAATATCTATGTGTGTGTGTCTGTGTATAGATACCTTATTGGTCCCTTGGAGGGCCAATAGGGAGCAGAAATGTGGGGTTAAGGGCCTTGTTCAAGGCACCACGGGTGTGGCAATTCTGCAAAGGGTGAGCCCGCTGAGGCAGGCACACTGCAGAGGGAGAGCCCGCTGAGGCAGGCACACTGCAGAGGGTGAGCCCGCTGAGGCAGGCACACTGCA